CCTTGCCGTTCTATGCTAACTGTCTCAAAATGATCACCTCAGGGGACATTCACTAAAGTCGAAGACCCAGAACAGCCACCTTGCTTACCGACATCACTCGTTTGTAGTCAGTGTATGGCGTATGGAATTCTCTTCCATCCGATATAGTGTGTGCTCCTGCAATTGAACTATTTCAAGCGCAACTTGATAAAGTTTTAAACACTTAAAATTTCAACATACGTGAGTGATCACACCTATTATTATCATTGATATTTCCTCTTTGTCAAGTTATTCAAAATATTCTGTAAAAATCCTATGGGGTACGATAAGCTTTAGCTTTGTTAAATCGCCCATAATAAACCTTTGACTTTGATATCGTTATTGGACAGGAAATGATAAATGTTGCAGTCTATCGGTTCTGTGAGAGGGATTTTTGTGAACAAAGAGGTCACGTCTAATGAAAACGGCCCGATGAGAAGTACCGAAAAAAAAACAGATCTGTCTTTGTCACTTTCAGAGAGACTTCTCTGACAACACGATCCGGTCATCGAGATTCCGATCGGAGAACATACTCAAATGCAAAGCCCCATGATTTGTCACCACGACTCGAGGCTGTACGTAAAATCCAATGAATTGAATGTGTGCAAAACCGTGCAACATTATTTCCATCGAAAGTCCAATTGATGATGACAATGACATATGACTGCGGAATTAATCGCACACCAGTAAGACAACCGGGAGGATGATATTCGTCCACCCAAACAGTGAGTGCCGACTTGGTAAATGATCGAAGAAAAGTCCAATTAGTCTGTCGATCTTCATTCCGATTTTATACCCGACTGAGGACATCACTCCACCCATCCATCATCATCATCATAATAATAATAAAGCACATTACCGGCGACTTGCAATCGATTGTCTCCAGTGACAAACGATCATCATTTGAGTCAGGTGCAAATCCAATGCGAACAATTTAAAAGTTCGACTGTATTACACTCACATCGATTGCGAACTAAACAATTTTGACCCCCCATTCAAACCTTCTTTGTTGAGTAACAACGGTAGCACGAGACATTCTCACTGTACTGTTTATTTCTACATAGTACAAGAAGATGAAAATCTCACCAGAAAAGAGTGAGCTACTTATCTCAGGTGTTACAAGTCACACAAATTTGTGTTCGGATACTACCACCATCCAACATTACCATTTGCCGCTTTTGGTAGTCCTTCAAATGATCACACACACACACACACACACACACACACACACACTAATACATAAAATTGGTGGAGAAATTATATATTTGAAACGCTGCATTACCTTCATCCATTGCACCAATACCAAAAGAAGATAAATAACCTCGACAATTCATCCAATCTCCTCAATCAGTGACGTCGATCAAGCTAGCGTACAATACATGTATAGCTCATCCAATTACATCGGAGCCAAGCGGCCATCGGTTGTTGACGCAATCGATCCGCCTTCCCGTGGACTTGACTTTTATCTTTTGGTAATCCAATTTAGCATGTACACATTCGGGGTCACCATGACTGACTGACCAACCGAATGTGTTCTCTAGGTACACCAGTTTCTTGAGTTTGAACAAATGAGGAGGTTACACAAAACGTTGAAACCTCTCCATCTGATGCTCTGACACATTCCTCGAAAAAGGGGTGCATAAGAGGGGACAAATATGTGATATCCGCAAATCCAAATTGCCCAGGCCAAACAATTCGATCAGACCAGAAAAACGAACAGCAATGACCACACAAGAAGTTAGAGTTTGAACAATGTCTACGTCTGTTAGACTGTAACAGATGACGCCGTAAATCAAAAGTTACTTACTTTACTTTACTGCGGCTGGCTCCTTGGAAAGGATAAGCCGGCTCCAGACATGATATTGGGTTTGGTAGGAGAGACGTTCTCAGCGTCACTCGGCGTTATTTATTTTGAAGGCGCACATCTGGTCTTTGCACAACCAATTGCGAACTGCAAGGCAACAGGAAGTAATTCCTCGTCTCGGAAGTGAGGGGATCAATGAATTTGGTTCTAAAAGGCCAATCACATGGACTTTAGTCACGACACCGTCATTGGGCTTACGCGGCTTTCAAACAGGAGCCCGGCGATCAGCCTGAAACCCACCACACCCTGGTAGTACCGCCGCTGTTTGTTCCCGACTGCTTATTTGTTGCGGTGTACCACAGCTTATTCACAGCTAACCTTCTTCGGCGAAGGCATCCCCCTATCCACAACCCGCGGCAGCATTCAGATACGTTTAACCCGAAGGTATCCAGATTTATCATAGTATGGTTGGGTGATGCGTGTTTATATGCCCCGAAATTGTAGAAAGACGAATTGTAAACGCATATCTACATGCCTTTATTTGAGGGATAGTGACGAGCATTATTTGTGCCATTTTCATAACACACAATATGACTAGGTATCGCCAAGATCCGAACAAAAATATCGCCCAGCAGGAAAATCAACAAGTGTCTAGACCAAACTGTGCGACCCGCCCGGTCGAACGAACCACCACATTGTTCATTCGCGCACGGGGGGAGGGTAGGGCGGGGGGACTTGGGAAGCATAAGCGAGATACTCAAATGACAACAGTCGAGTTAAGCAACCACGTGTGTTTGTGTCTGTAGGGAGGGAGAGGATCATCGTCCATCTGATCAGTATCTGGGCATCAAGATCCAAGTGAGAAATGAAAGAGAGGGAGAGAAACTCGGGCAAAATGATAACGAAACGCATTTCAATTCGACCTCGATCGGGTGGACATGATCAGTAGAAATAGCTATGTCTAATTAAAGTCATTGAGTTAGGTATGATGGTAGCAGATCGGGGACGGTTTGAAGTGCAGGTACTGGATACGAGGAGGATAATGGTGTCAAGCACTCGTGATAAGTGATTAAGGAGGAAGGGGAGAAGAGACGATGGCTCTCAAGAAAATGAAGAGACAAGGCCTAGCGTGGCGGCGCGGAGCGAAGNGTTACGAAAGATAGAAAAAAAACAATTAATGTCAAGTGAGTAGTGTCTCTCGAACATGATCATCATCATCATCAACAACCGCAATAGACGGCCACGTGAGTTCCGCTTCCAAAACAGGACGGTGATAGAGTTGTTGGGTCACTAGCGAAATGGAGCTTTCGAAACATCAGGAGGGGGGTCGCTTGTAGTTGAAGATGACTGCCCAAATTGGGACAGGGAAATGGATGGGGAACTATTTCTTGTCAACTGGTTCAAACGGCGGTGGAAGTTTCAGATTGGACGGTTCTACACCCCAAATGTCCCGAGCGTATTCCCGAATTGTTCGGTCCGAAGAGAACTTTCCAGACGAGGCAATATTCATAAGCATCATTTTCGCCCATTTCTGCTCGTCCTGTAAAGTGAGAAAAAAACATGAGAAAGTTCACACGTGAATGGAGCAGTCAGATGAACTCATAAATGACCTATTCATCAATGATGAAACGTGATGATTACACAAAAGTGCGATAAACCTAAAGCAATACAAAAACATTTGGAATTGGCACAAGTATGCACAAAGACACCTCAGGAAAACGAGATATCAATTCATCGTGAATGCGCTTACCTTGTACACAGCTTCAACTTCACCCTGAACGCGAATGTAGTCCGCGTAGTCTGCACACAACAGGAACCGATCATCGTAGGCGAGACTGTTATAAATGTCTTTGAACAGGTGAGGATTCTCCGGACAGAAGTATCCATCCCGAATTTGTTCAAGGCACAGTTTCAGCTCCGGATTAGACTCAATGTATTGCATCGGTTTGTAGCTAAATTGAGTTTGAAAGAAGTGGTCAGTAAGTCAAATCAAGTCAAGAAAAGCTTTATGCACCCAAAAGGTGAATTTTCAGCAGGTTACGAGTTTTACAGGGGATAGTTAAAATAATTGTAAACAAAAAGAAAAATACAGTATGAGAAATTCTGCACTTTAATAAATGAGAAAAAAATTAGGGCAAGAGTTCTTCCCTGAGGTGGGTGAGGATATGCTGACGATTTACTAGTAAACGAGCTAGGTAAGGATTTACACTGTTCGATATGTGAAAGTCCGCGCAGGAAGAAGTTGATATTTGGAGCGTGTCCGGGGAATTGACAGGGCTTTCGCGATATCTTGGTGTAGACAGTGCCCTTGATTATGCGCTTTCCTGTCAATGAGTGTATTACAAGCGTCAAGATGCTTGGAAATAAAGAAAACTAAAACAGTTTTATCAACTCCACTGTAGCTGGACAAAAGTTTAAGGGATCTTGAAAATAAAGAGAAGTCTTTTTCTTTCAGTCCGGGGATAAAAATCGGGGAGCAGTATAGCCAGTGTGGAAGAATGCAGGCAATCACAAATTTAATAATAAGATTATGCGGTACGGCCAGTTTCCTGAGCCTGTAAGCATAGAAGGACAGTTTTCGAACTTTAGTGAAAACGTTGATGACAGATAACAGAGTAACGATAAAAACTGTTCAGAGAACTGGGTCACAAGAAATTTTCACAATAAAACATTGTGAATGTTTTTATCGTTGGTCTAGAATGTCTGTTGAGTTTGGCCTGACAAACGCCATAAGAGCAACATACAATACTCGTCGGCAGTTGTATACAGCTTAAACGAGCCTGCATAGTGTTAGACACCGTATTGTACGTAATTCAAATCGTTTTATTGCGAAAACACTTTTTTCATTGCACACAT